TAAAAGAAGAACCGTGAGGACCAACTAGCCATAGAAGATAAACTATGAATTAAAATATACTGATTTACCAGCATTAAAAAAATTGTGCAGTGATCTTTTCTAATCAACTGGTATGTGACAAGCAGAAACAATTACAGAGTTGGCTGTTTTAGAGAAAAGGGAAAATGTTGAACAGTTGACTTCATAACTCCATATTTTGACTTTTTATTTTTTGCCTCTTTTCAACCCTGTCTGAATTACCACTACCAAATTTACAGGAGTACATAACAAAATTAAACACTCTTTATGAAAAACACAAATTTCTAAAACAAAATATGCAACACAGCATAAGGAAATGATAGTGATAGTGCTGGACGTTAATGGTCAGGGGAAGATTTTCAGAAAAAGAACATCTGTTTCACAAGAAATGCAATTAAAAAAAAAAAGCCGATGAAATACCTTAGTTGTATAAAACAAAAATTGAGGCTCTAAACCTGCTATTAGAGATACTGAATTAGATACATTGCATACTCTTCTTCTTTCTACTGTTTCTCTCAATTGTCTTGTCTTTGCTTCTTAGATGTCTATTCATATGTAACTGAAAGCAAGAGAAAACAACAGGCTATACCTTAAACCAGTAATGTGCCTAGATAAGGCTCAATTCATGCGGAAATCAAAACCATCCTGGGAAATCTGTGCTCAGTGTTACAGCTATTAGTACCCATTCAACAGTTTCAGTCCCAGATTCAGGAAAATTTCCCTGTTTGTGCCAATCATAAGCATAAGTTTCATTGTGTCATTGCTTAAAGTTACCTATCTTTTCAGAACCTGCTTTGATCAAGAAGGGTATTAAAGCAGATAGTTAACTGTTTTCCCTTTTCTTCCTTTCTTCCCACAAAAGCGGCTATAAGTTTTCTGCCATTGAGCATATTCTTGTCAGAACATGATTTCTTTATTTCTAAAATTTTTTACCTTTCTGTCTAATAACTTGTATTTTAATAATAATTCACTCTTATGTATCTACTACTACATCTTAAACAAACCCTTCATAAATCAGGTGTTATTGTTCCTGTCTAAAAATAGTAAGTCCTCTTAAAAACAGCCAGCTAGTTTTGTGTGTATCAGATGAATCAAAGTATACACTGAGTATGAGTTCTGCTAAATTTGGGAGGGTATCAGGATGCCATCCCATCTTTCCAGCTTGGGTGGAATATATTAGAGCTTTTTCACAATTATAGTTTGCTGAATGAGAACAACTTTGATCTTTGAAGTTGCCTAACATGCCTTAATCTCTGGGGGTTTTTCTTATTTTGTATGAAGTTAAAGCTATGCTTAACCTCTGGGGTTTTTTTCTCATTTTGTATGAAGTTACAGCTACGCTTTACTACCCAAAGCATTGTGTGGAAGAGTGCATGTATGTAGACTGTTTCAGTAAAGTTCATTAGAATAGGCTTGATTTTAATGGAATGAATACTCTCATTCTGAAAGCAAAGAATTCAAGAAGACAAACATTTCAAAGTGAACTTCAAAGGAAAAAAAGGCTGAACTTGAAGTTAAGTTTATCCTTCGAAATTTTGCTGAACTCAGGCCCTAGCACAAGCTTCTGGCTGCCTAAACCTGTCAACTGTCCAGACCTGTCCAAAGCACATTTTGACATCTCAGACCAGCACTGCCTTCCACCTGAGGATCAAGATTTACCCAGAACTCACATTTTAAACCCCAAATTTCCCCACATAGACAGATCGAGGCACACAGGTATATGCAGAGGCAACTTCATTTAAGGAGTCAGGTGCTTTGCTCCTAGCTAATCTTCACACAACTGAGATCCAAAGCAAGAAGATACCTACATGACGAAGCAGAAGATAAAGTTATTGGAGGCCATTAACTTTCTTCTTCTTCCTCTTTTGTTAAGCAGTATACAGCTATCACTGACTTAAACATATCTGGCATCCCCATTGTATTTGTACTCCTACAGCCCCTCTTCCTCCCAGAGGTCAAACTCTGCCGATGGCCAATACTCCCCAGTGCAGCAGGATGTTGTAGCCTCCCTTGATCTGACTTAACATGCTTTAACTGCACTTGCCTAGCACAGAGCAGCAGCCTGGGCATTTTTATCCAAAACCATAGCTGGAGGACCTACTGTCTACTTTTTGTACAAATCCTAGTGGTTAGATTTGTAGAGCAGTGGAAGACTTGAGATCAAACCTCTTTTCACTCTAAATAGTTTTGACACTGTAACTCCTACTTCACAGAAGGAAATCCAAGCTGCCAGGCTACAGGAAGGAAAACTGACCACTGTTCTTTCCCAAAATGAGCAAATGAGTAGCAAGAACAGGCCAGAAGCAGATCAAGTGAAAGGTGGTATGATGTGGTAACATCACGAATGGTGACATGCAGAAATGAGGAGCATGGGTTCAGACTCTCATTTCCCTGTATAATTTGGGGGTTTTATTCACCAAGTGAAATATAAAAACTAAGTGATTGCATTAACTGGAGCTGCACTAAATGTCTGAATTAGAATATATTATTTTAAGAGAACATAACTACAAATGGTAATCTAAGTATAACTGTAACCACGCAAGATGTGTAATTGAAATAGAGCACTGTGTTGGCAAAACATTAGACTGTTTCCTAGCCCTAAGCTGCATGGATCAAGTAAGCAGCAATTGTAAAGCTTTTGCATTAACTTACTGAAGCTCCAATCGCAGCTTGTAGAGGAAAAGTCAGTCACACTGAAGACAGTTCAGATGGAAGAATGACATGTTGTTCCCAACTCTCTTGTCTAATTAAAGACCCAAAACATTATTCTACTGAAGGTGATGACATTACTCACTTGACATCAAAGGGAATCAAGATTTGCCATTCTCTTATGAAGAATTATTTTTATCATATGATTAAAAACAAGCAAGGCAATTCACAATGCGTCACGTGGTAGCACTTTTGTCTCTAGGTGATGGCAGACTCCAGTTCTCTAGTGTTTCAGAGGTCCTACCTGAAGCCAAGAGATTAGCTCAATACTGAGGTTGCAGCATCTAAACCAAGTTACAGTCACCTCCAGAGGTACCAGCTCTAACTGAAACCCCAACCTGTTGTGCAACTGGCAAACATGCTAGAAGACTGAGGAGCTTACAAACTAAATAGACAAGGATAAAAGATCTCCATTGTGCTGATAAGAATTGAGGCAAGTGCATATTGACTCACCTGAAGTTGCACAGTTGAGCTCCAGTAAAACAAGGGAAGGATCCCCAGGTTCATCGCTGCAAATCCAGAGGGACTATCTGGGTGCAGATGGCACTTTGATCTTCATGATAAAAATTTTGCTTGGATCTCCTGGCTTTATGCTATCTTATGTCATGTCTAAAATAAAGAGAAAATAATAAAGTGAAAAAACTCCTCTCTCCAAATTCTGTGCCTAGTTCTTTGTTTTATCAGAGTGTAACTGAAGCTAGCTTACAAGCAGGGCATAAGTCCTTTATTAGTAAAAGAACTGTGAAAAATTAGGGATCACACCTGAGTCTGGGAAGTCTTTGCTCCCAAATAAATGGGAAAAT